CAGTATTTTCTTGCTGAAAGATACTGCTGAGGTATTGTGCAGGTGTTTACCCAAAAATTCAAATATTTATAAAGTATTTATATTGGCTTGAAGATCCTGTAAATCATCATGGGGAAAAGATGTATCAAAATAAATGGAAGTCACTTCAGAAACAAACTTAAGTCCATTTCAGTTAAATAAATTGTTTAAAGCAAAAAAAAAAATCTTAACTTCATAATTATACTTAAAAACTGAACCCATCATCTTTAGAGGATGACAGGAAACCTGGTGACTGAAAGCAACATCAAGCATGAACCACACCAACGAGTAACCAAATAGCAGCAAAGGGGAGCATCTCTGGCTGATTTGTAAAAGCAAGAAAACAGAGGTGCAGTGTGGCCAGGTCGTAGCTCTCAATGAATTAATGTAGCCAAAAAATAACATTCAAACAAATACTGATGAGCAGATAACCATGTGCCTCCTGATACAAAATACACCACCTCAAGACTTGTCAAAGAGATCAAATTTAGATAAGGCTTCAGAATAGAGCTACCCATGTACAGAAAGAGAAAGAGCTCAGCTGCTCTCGGAAGTGTGTAATTAGCTAAATGAGAGCGAAGGAAACTGTAGTCGCCAGGTCTCTACCAAACAGAAGTTGTGAAGACGACAACAGATGGAACCTGCATGCCAAGTTTTCTAAACTGGGGAAGACTAAGCTCTCAAAGCTGAATGACAGACTCCTAAGGGAAGGTCAGGAAGCACTGCTGGTGGGGACGGCGCACCTCAAAAGCGTCAGCACAGAATCACCGTGCTCCAGCAGTCACATTTCTAGGTCAGTACCCCACGGCAGGGACTCCACCACGTATGTGCACATGCATGTTCACAGCAGCATCATTCCCAGAAGCCCTGAGGCAGGAACAGCCCCAAGTGTCATCCATGCACAGATGGACGAATAAGATGTAGTATGCACAAAGCGGTACACTGCGCAGCTCACTCACAAAGGAAAGAAGTTCAGCCTCATGCTGCACAATAATATGGCTGAACGTCCAAGACATCTGCTACGTAAAGTATGCTGGCCACAAAAGATGAAGTGCGTAAACTTCCAAGCAGGTGGTGCTAGAGAGTCAGCCTCAGAGAGGAAAGGAGTGGTGGCGGCCAGGGCTGGAGAGGGGTCGATTGGGACTTAGGGCTTCATGGGCACAGTGTTTCATGGGTGTAGGAAGAAGAACCCTTCCAGAGACAGATGGCAGAGACAGTTGTACAGTAACGCAAATGCACTTAATGACATGAAGCATACACTTAGAAGCTGTTCAAGCTATGAGTTTACTATAATATGTTTTACAGTAAAACATATATTAAAATAAATAAAAAATAATAAACACTACAGTGATGCTATCGGGTTAAGCAGGTAGCCCAGTGGTATAGCACCTGCCTAGCAAGAAGCCCTGGGTTCAATCAAGTACAAGGAATAACTCCTTGGGTATCCAGCAATAAAGAAAAAGAAATCAAGTCACTTGTTAGAGGAAAATAAATTCAGAAGACCTCATCTTTCCTCACAGTGATTTTCCATACCACAAATTAATAGATTACTCTTCAAAATAATAAAATGCCTAATCAAATACAGTTTGACCCAAAGGTTTCATATTGAGCCAGGCCCTATTTCAATTGTAAAGACCAAAAAGATCCGCTGGGGATACACAGGTGCTCGGGTCCCACTGTCTCCAAACTCCAAGAGACAATCAGGAAAATGAAGCAAAGGAACTAGCAAGCAAATCTAAGATAAAACAATGAAAATAAGAATGTATGATGGGGTAAAAATGAAATAACTCACAAAAACTAGGGCAAATAGGGTGGGAGGCAAGGTAACATTCCTGAGCACCTCAGGCCTCCTGGCCAAGAATCCAAAGCCTCCCCGAGGGCCAGGGTGCAGCTCAGTGGAACAGCACACGCTCAGCGTGCATGAGCCCCTGGCCCAACCCCATCACTCAACAAAAAGGTACCACATAAACCTGATGAGAGAGCAACATGCATTAGCAAGCAGTCTGAAGATGACAGTAATAAGAGAATACAAAGTGCTTAAGAGAAACAGGGAAGGGGGAGGGGACAGGTAGAAGGACACAGGGACATGGCTGAAGTCACCAACCAGAACAGGAGCTTCCTCCAGGAGGAACCCAAGGTGGAGAATTCATGGTGCTTCATAAAGTTATAATCAAAAAGGGGCTGGCAAGATAGCTCAACAGAGGGCCAGAAAATTGGCTCAGCAGATTAAAGTGCCTGCTTAGGCAGACACAGGGGCTGGGGGTTCAATCCCGGGTGGGTAGTGCTGGCCCTGCCCCCAGGGCACGCTGAGATGGGATTGAGACTGGGCATGAGGGCACACGCCTGTAATCCCCGGGCTTGAAAGGCTGAAAACAGGACGATCACTACAAGTCTAATCTACGTAGAAAGACCCTGGAGACCCTGGAGACCTTAAAAAATACAAAAAGAAAGGAGGAGAGGAGAGAAGAGAAGGCAAGAAAGCAAGTGAGCACTAGCTCAGTGGACTAAGCACCTGCTTAGGCAAGCACAAGGACCGCTGGGGTTTGATCCCTGGCACCACACTGAGACCAGACATGGTGTCACACATCTGTAATCCCAACCCTAGGGAGGCTGAAAACAGGAAGATCACTACAAGTCCGAGCTGCAGAATGAGACCTTGTACATAATGTAAAAAATAAAACATTAAAATGGGCACCATTAGCAGTTAAGATAGTAAAAACTTCAAGCATATGTAAATCACAGAGCACCCAATGAAAACAGTTAAAGAAAATTCTAAAAAACAAAAAACAAAATATGACAGACCCTAGACAAACTGCCATATTAATAGTGTAAATGGGCTACATTCACCAACTTAAAAATTTCATATGAAACAACACTCAACCCATTCACCCAAGACTAGGAACAAAAGAGATCTTCTTTATTTAGCTCACTAAAGAGCATCTACCAAACCCTACAGCCAGTATCATGCGCCTCTCGTCAGCATGCTGACAGTCCCTACCAGCTGTGGCAGGTGATCTTAACTATCACAGAGCTTGTGCTCGCTTCGGCAGCACATACACTAACGATCACAGAGCTCAGGTGCCTGGCGGGCCACAGGCTGGTGGCTGCCTGGGAGGCTCACAATGCCGGATCGACAAGGCGCAAGGGGCACGCTGTGCAGGTGAAGGGTGCAACGCGGGACACTGTCCTCAAAGTCCTTACAACATAGGAAAAAAAATTAAAGAACAGCTGTGAAAGATTAAGAAGTACATTTTCTATAGTATAGGAGAGGCCAAGGGGAAGAGCCCAGGCTGGGGCCGAGGGCCCCCTGCCCACCCCAGGAAAGTCCCTGCCCACAGACAGCTGGGATCTCAGCTCCACCCTCCAGCAGTGAGGACAGGCTGAGGTGCATCTGATGGTCGCTGAAGCCCTGTCCGCCTCTCACACCAAGCGACAGCACTGAGTGAGCGCCGGCTGTGCTGGAAAGGGAGCTCAGAACTGACTGCAACCTAACACAAGTGCGACCCTTCTCGACATCCTCTTGACATCTCCATGAGCAGCCAACATCCGAGAGCAGCGGAGGCAACCTACGGCGCGCGCGCCACTGCAGGCCGCTGGCAGCACTGAAAGCTCTGAAAGGCTCACCAGCACTGTCACAGAGGATACAGACTGCAAGTGAGGATGCGCCCCCAGGAGACTGTATTTTAGGTGATCATGGTTTGAGTAAAGTTTTCAGAGTGAATCTAATTTCCTAGTGTTGCTGAGGAGCTGCTGTTTACTGGTTTTGTATTTTCAAAAAGACATTATTTCTTTCTAAGGCCTTCAACATTTTTTCAGGGCTGCAGAAGTACCTGTGCTCTCAGCTCCTGTGGAGGTCAAAACAGGAGGATCACTTGAGCCCAGGAGCTTGAGGCCAGCCTAGGAAACAGCATAATGGGACCCTGTCCGGAGGAGAGGCGCAGGTAGCTGCAGAGCCCACAGGAGAGGGGGTGCTGTGACCCCCCAGGACTCCTTTCCACAAGCCAACCCACAAGGCTTCTGTTAACTCAGAGAGAGAAAAGCAACTCTCTAACAATGCGTGTAACAGGCTTAGCACACCTAATGACTAGAGGAGAAACCAGAGCCACAATGCACAAGAAACAGCCCGCCTGGGATCCAATGGTCAGCAAAGGGTCATGGTCATCTACATCACGATGGCCAGGCCACGCGCAGGACACTTGCTGCTGGGACCTGTGCCTCCCGCACCAGTTCCTAGCCAGCCAGCCACGGCGAGAAGAGGCCTCTGGAGAACGCCCACTGACTCCCCGAGAACGTGCCTGGTGCTTCCTCTCCCGGCAGCCACCACCTCTGCCAGGTGCGGCACATGGAAACTCAGTGCATAAACCTCATTGTTTTAAATAAAGCCAGGAGAAAGAACTGCTTCTCAGATGTGAAACAAAACCCAAATACATCTAGGTAATATGTGTTAACTCTGCTGATCTAGAATCTCAGAAACAGAAGCCAGCGGTATCTATCAGCACAGCTGACCTTGGAATTCCTCCCTATAACTTCAAGTCCAGAAGCCACAAAAGATAAGACTGATAAATATGACAAAACAAACATCAAAAATTTCAAAGACAAATGTGAAAGAAATGTTGAAACAGTAAATTTTACCACGAAGTCCATCTTCTCAGTGAAGTGCATGAGAACACAGGCGGCTCCTACAGAGTCGTGGACACAGCCCCCTTCACAAAGGGAGAAGCACACATTAAACTACATCCAGACGCCCTTTGCACCTGCTGGATGGGGAAACTCAGGAAGTGTGGCCACACAGCCCACCTGGACCTGTGAGGCTCAGTTGCCACACCCCAGGGGCGGTTCAGTCTAGGATCTCTGAGGACACTCACCCTCGCCGCCACAGTCAGACCTGACCCTGCAGTTCTGGGAATCTGTCATAGGGGTGTGTTTGCATGTTGTGAGCTGAAATGAAGAGAAAAAAGAGAATTATGTTCACTCTCTCAACTGTCGGGAAGATCAATATTATGGTTGGGGGAGCAGTAAGACACTCAGCAGAGTAAGTGCCTGCTTTGGCAAGCTCCGGGTTCAATCCTCAACCCCACATGCCCTACGGCACGCTGAGCCAGCCACTGAGTCCAGGCACGGTGGTGCATGCCTAGAATCCCAGTGCTGGTGAGGCTGAAAACAGGAGGATCGGTACAAGTCTGAGCTGCACAGTGAGACCCTATACCAAATACATAAATGAAAAAAGAAAAAAAAAATGAAGTGCAATGGAACAAAATATGTTTTAATTGTATTTTGTTTGTAAAAGCAAGATTTGAAGCCAAGGATGTATCTCAGTGGCCCAGCACCTGCCTGGCAACCTCAAGGCCCTGAGTTCAATTTCCAGTACCAAAGAAAATAAAAGCAAGTTTTAGAAATAAATGGTCCTGGTTACTTTTCTCTCCTTGCTGGGACAAAATGGCAGACACCCAAAATTCAGGAAGAAAATGTTTATTTAGCTCACAGTTAGTGGATGTTTCCGTCCACACTTGGCTGGCTCCAAGGCAGAGCAGCACATGGGAGAGGGCAGCTGTTCATGGCAGTGGAAAGCAGCAAAGAGCAGAGGGAGGGGCAGCAGCTGCAGCTGCAAGCCTCTCTCCTCACCTTATGTTGCTCTCCATCCAGGGTGGGCATAGCACCCACATCCATAATCTCAGCACTGGATCATGAATTAATCACAAATTCCAGAAGCCACCGCAATGACTACATAAGCCTTCAGGGGGACAACTAGATACAAATCATAACATAAACCCAACACCCTTAACAGAGGACTGTTTAATTCAATTATGGTTCAAAGATTAAATGGAAAACCAGACAGGTAGGGAGGAGGAGACTAGAGGTTAGGAAGGTGGCTATGGGCCGGGGAAGGGTCCCAAAGGCATCAAGTACTCGAAGCACATGCAGGAAAATGCATTTTAAGGCTTTTAGTAAATAAAGAAGTGACTATCAAAAGCATTTTCAAATTTGTCTAAAAATACACACGAGAATGCTAGAAAGATACATGGAAAACTAACAGGACTGAACGGACAGAATAGATCGCAGTCAACTTTTGAGTGAATGCCTCTTAATAACTGCTTTTACTTTCTGAATCATGTGGCCGTATTATGTAACATATTAATAGTACAAGTTTGCACATCACGGTGCAGCAGCTCTCCTTACTTCTAGGCCCACGGGGCAGTGGAGGCCCAGGCTGTGCATGCACCTCCCTCCCAGGGCTCCTGTGCTCCAGGCCCAGTCATCCTTCCTCACCTCAGGGACCCTTACTGCTCCCTGCAAGCCCTGGCGCGGCGGCCCTCCTCCCATGTGACCTGGTGCCAGAAATGCTGCTCTTGGAGAAAGAGACAGGAGGAAGCAACAACAGGGCCGTGTCCAGAGCCTGCACTGGGGAAACCTGCAGGGGCTACAGTGAAGGCAGAGACGGAAGCCTTGGCAGTCCAGCGACGGTGGCTGCCAATGTCCCATGCAGCACACTTCCTGAAACAACCTGGCCAGGCCTGGGCCTTGACGCCACTTCTTCACAGAAGGCCAGCCCATCAGTGACTCCAACAGAGCCCCATCCACACCCTGCCCACATGGAGGGCCTGGAGGGCATCTCATCTTCCCTGGTCTGCCTCCTCTTCTGCCTTGCCCACACTTCAATCACAATACCAGATGGTCTAGTCACCTTCAGGTGGAGTGATGAGTGAAACCAGACCCCAAGAAGCTGAGGTCCAGCTCCTTGGCCACACTGGCCACGACCAGCCACCACAGGCCCTGGGGCATCCAGGACCATGGCAGGCGGCCGCCTCCACTTAGAGCCTGGCCCAAGGACTCATCCCCACCCAGCATGGGGCGGGACTTCTGCAGCCCCTCTCCACTGTTCCCCCTGCCATAACCGCCACAGTGCCTTCCTCAGGGCAACAGCACCTCAACGCTTCAGGCACAGTTTCTGCACAGCTCCTTGGCCTCTCCACAAACCACTCCTGCTAAGTCCTTCAGCCATAGCTTACAAAGCTATCAGAACCACTTTTTTGACCATGAGCACCTCACCTGTCCAACCTCTTTTTGTCAAGAAATTCCTACAGCAATCCATGTGCTTCTAATTTGCAAGAGAATTTTGTTTTAGGTTTTCAGCTTCTCTCCTTTTCAGGGGAAATGAGAAATAGGGAATTAGTTTAAAATATTTAATTCATACATAAGATAACTGCCTTTCACTCATTTAAAGCAAAGTCTTAGCATGTTATGATGGTACATACCATGTTATGGTGCTGGGAGGCTGAGGCAGGAGGACTACAATTTGGAGCAAAATTTGGGTAATGTAGTGAAACCCAGTCTCCAAATAAAAAATTAAAAATGAGCTGGAGATGTAGCTCAGTGCAAAGGCCTGGTTTCAACCCCCAGTGCTGGAGTGGAGAGAGAGAGAGAGAGAGAGAGAGAGAGAGAGAGAGAGAGAGAGAGAGACAGAGATAGAGACCGAGAGAAAGGGAAAAGAAGAAAGTGGCAGGGAGGGAGTCAGGTCTTCAGAGAGCAAAGTCAAGCCACCCTCACCATCTCACGGGTAGTCATGAGACAATGCCACGTGGAAAGCCCACCTGGCACTGATGCCCTCTCCACATGGCAGTCTCACGCCTGCCCAACTAAGTTGTACCCCTGCCCTCCCACATTTTTCCTGTGGGTTCTGGTTCAGCAGAGCAGTCAGCAGCCCAGTCCAGGTTGCTGGAAAATGTTCCACCCCCAGCCAATCTTTCTGAAAGGCAGAAACCAAGAGCTCTCCTCCAGCCCACAGTCAAGTGCTCACTTTCCCATCCCCAGCAGGACCGCACGGAGACAGGCACGCCACTGCACACTTCTCTCTTGTCCTCTGCACCTGGACAAAGCACCAGGACCAAGCCCGCCCCGTAGGCATGCTCCTCACTCGGACAGCACAACCCAGCTGCGTCTGGCCTCCAGCACAACTGAAGCCGACAAACCAGCAGCTCCACCCTCTCCCACCAGTGTCCCTGAAACACAAGGCCATGAGCCCTGTGAATCAGGCCAAAGCGCCCTGCTCTCTGGAAGCTCCCGCTCCTCAGCCGCCCATCCTTCCTGAAGCAGCTGCTCTGTTTTCTCTGCAGCTGAACTACCCTAGAAAGCTGTCACTCTCCCACAGCGCTGCTGAAAGCCAAGCACTGCAGTCTTGGCGAACTCTGGCTACAGAGCACCAAGCATCCCGGCTGGCCTTTTAGAGGTTTCCACGAAATCACATCCTCAATCAGAATAAACCAGGCTCCCAAGTGGGGCTGCAGTGACAGAGACATTAACAGCAGAGATAGCGGCACACTCCTTCCAGCATGCGAACTACCAGTCTCCTTCCAGAAATAGCTGAAGACTACAGGATTTCTGTTGTTGTTAAAATAACTACAGCCTTTATTCTAGGGTTGGGACAACATCTGATTTATTCAAATGCCCCAGCTTTTAAACATGATCACAGTCTTTGAACTTAGCCGGGAGGTACGTGGTGGAGAGAAAACCCGAGGCTTGGGTTCAGTTCCCAGGCGGTTGTGAGAGGAGCTTGGCTGTGCCTGGGTCCCTCCTCCCCCCTGCCCACTGCCTGAGGGAGGGGAGAAGGGCTCTCCTGTCCCTCGGACACAGTCACCAAAACTCACCTTCGGCACCAGCCTCCCTTCACCTGGTGAGTGACTCCCAACAGTGCCCAGAAAGCTCTATAGAACTCAGATCAGAGACTGCTCTGCCGTCCCAAAACTTAGGACCTGCCAAAGGCGACAGGAGAACATGCCGCTCGTGACAGAATTCTGGTCTGCGCCACCTCGACGCCCCAATGACAGATGCTCCCACTCTGCAGATGTGAGCACTGCTGGAGAAAAAAGGCTGCACACTGAGCAGCTACGACTGCAGATGGCAGGAGCCCCTCGACAGCTACAGCACGGCTCTGGGTCCAGCCCCAGCACAGGCCCCACGGGAGCTTGCTCAGGGACGAGTCCGCAGAGGGAGCGAGCACTACAGAGAATTGGCTGTCCAGGAAGCACGACAGGAGGGAAGACGCTCAGCTGGAGAGAAGAGTCCCAGAGTTTCTGTGAAGACCAGCTGTCGAAGGGGTCTGCGAACTGCTCCACAGACCATTTCCGTGAGGGCAGGAAAGTACCTCCAAACCAAGCACAGTAGCTCCTATGGTTTTCCTGTAACTGTAACAGAATATGTACGCATGTCCCTAAAGCCTGCTCAGCCACTCCCCCAAGGGCTCTTGCTGGGAGCGTCTTGTGATGTTGGAATCCACTTTTCTATCAATCAAGAGCACTCACGGTAACTCACCGGCAACCTCTCAGCTACTCCATATAAAGCCAAACCACAAAGACACCTGGCAACTGAACAAGCCAAGCAGGCTGCCCCTACACCAATTATGGAGTAAAAAGTGTGCAAAAAGAATTATTTTCACAATTAAAACTATCATTTGAGACCCAGTCCTAGCCCAGGTGCGGTGAGTGTGTGGAGAGCTTCCTGCTACCCTGTGCCTGCGGGACCA